CCGACTTGCCGGCGTGGTAGCCGATGATCAGGCACTCAAGCTTCTCGCGAGGCTTGACCGCCGCTGGAGGCTTGCCGGCGGCGTCGCCGCTCAGTTGATCCACGCCGGCATCGCCGGCGAATTCGTTGACCGCCTCTTCGAGGCTCTTGTTGTCGTCTCCCTTAGCCTGAGAGGCGGCGTTAGCGATGGCGCCCACGAGCGATTGCTTTGGCGGCGCCTTGAAGCCCCAGTCGAGCAGCCGCTCGTACGGCACGCCGCCCACGATCAACGCCGCCGACAGGGCCAGCGAAACACCGAAGTTGCCGCCGTTGGCGATGGCGATGTACTTGGGAAGCCCGCTAGCAATCTGCTTCCAAGTCTTCAGCGGCTTGATGATGAGATCAGCGACGCCGAAGTTGGCGTCTTCGAACGAGCAGAGCACAAAGGCCACGACGTGGCAGACCGCGGCGATCGACACACCGCCGACCAATCCACCAACGCCGCACCAGGTTTGCAGCGTCGGGTTTCCTAGCGTCGCAAGGCGCGCCGCCACGCCGGCGGCGACGCAAGCGAGCGTCGTGCCGACCATCAGCCAGCCCCACCACGGGATCAGGCTCGCCCAGACCGCAAGGTGCTTCTCCCAACCGGGCTGCTTCGGCGCCGCAGCGCCCTCCGCGACTGCCGCCTGGGGGCCGAGCATGACCGCCTCGTAGGCGTCGTCGATTTCGACATGGATCCCCAGCACCGGGTACCAGCCACAGTGCTGACAGGCGGCGGCGGTGTTCGGTCGCCCGCATTTCTCGCAGGCGGGCCCGAGGGCGGCCGGAAACGCGGTCTCTGGGGCCAGGGAGGGTTCAATCGGCTGCTCGTCGAGGGTCGCTTGGGACACGGCGGCGGGCTCCACAGCGGGCGTTTAGTGAGGCGGGTGTCCCGCGAGTTCGGCGCGAACCGGGGCGTCTGGGAAACGTAGCTCACTCTGGGGGGAACCACGCCCCGCTCGGTGCGCGGATAAGACCGGTCGTACCGGTCGCTCCAGGTGCGTGCCCCGACTGGGGCCCCTCGCTATACTGACAAGCAGTGCGGCGGTTCTCGCTCCCGGTCGGGTCGGCGGCGCCAAGTCCCACAATCTCTACCGCGTCCCCTCTAGGCCCCACGGAATGGAGAACGACCTGCACTCGGCGGCGGACGACCCCACCGCCACTGCGCCGAAAGTCTCGACGCCGGCTGTCCCCAGCGAGTCGTCTACAGAGCGGCGGATGTTCGACAAACCGAACCTCCAGCTCCACGACCCCGACCCCTACGCCTTCGCCAACCGCATCCGCAAGCTCGTGGTGATCGCGAGCCTGCTGGCGTGCTTGGCGGCCGCGCCCTTCTTCTCTCGGGTCTTTGCCTACCAGGTCCGTCGGGGCCAGATGCAGGCCGAGTACGAAACGGCGACGAAGGCGCTGGGCGAAATGGCGCCGCAGCTCAAGGCCTTCGAAGAGGCCTCGCGGTCGATTGCCCGCAAGGTCGGCCCCAGCGTCGTCAGCATCAACCGCCTGACCCTCTCTCGCGGCGGCCGGACGATGTTCCAAGGGATCGGCTCGGGCTTCATCGTCGATCCTGAGGGCTACGTCATCACCAACTATCACGTCATCAACCAAGCCGAACGGCTCATTGTCCGCTTCAGCAACGGCGAGAGCTCCGATGCATCGATCGTTGGCGGCGACCAGCGCACCGACCTCGCGGTGCTGAAGATCGACGGCGGCAATCTCCCAGCGCTCGAGTGGGCCGACAGCGACCAGCTCCAGATGGGCGACCTCGTCTGGGCCGTCGGCAGCCCCTTCGGCCTGGAAAACAGCATCACCTTCGGCATCGTCAGCTCAACGTCGCGCCGTCGTGACAGCGGCATCACCGAAGATATCTACCAAGAGTTCTTCCAATCCGACGTCGCCATCAACCCGGGTAACTCGGGCGGCCCGATGGTCAACCTCGCCGGCAAGGTCGTTGGCGTCAACACGATGATCGTCGGTGAGTCGTACGCCGGCGTCTCGCTGTCGATCCCCAGCCGCGTAGCGCGCGACCACTACGAGCAGATCCGCGAGAAGGGCTTCGTCGAACGCGGTTTCCTCGGCATCGACCCCTCGGCGCCGACCACGACGCTGCGTCAGAAGCTCGGCCTTGAGCGTGGCGAGGGCGTCGCCATCAACAACCTCCGCACCAACACCCCCGCCGCCGACGCCGGCCTCCGCAATAACGACGTCATCCTCCAGTGGAATGACCACAAGGCGGTCGATCCGAGCCTCCTCAGCCAACGCATCGCCGCCACCGAAGTCGGCTCCGAAGCAAAGGTCGTCGTCCGCCGGTTGGAGAACGGCGCTCCTGTGGACAAAGAACTGACCGTCCGCGTCGGCCGCCGAACCGATGTGGGACGCTGAGGCGATCCCGAAATAACAGGCGAGCCGGGAGCGTCAGCGACCGGAG